TGTGACAAGGATAAACCCTAGGTTCACAGAACTTTAATCTCTGTAACACCAAAACAAAACAATTTTTTCTACTACTTCAAATGAATATACAATGGGATCTAAATATCAACACTTACAACTGGGCTGCAACTCATATAAAACCAGGTCTTCTTCTTCACCACCAAAATCATGTGGTTGATCATTCTCAACATGTGTAACAATACATGTTTGTAAATCCATAATCACCAAATACCCTATGTACTCCACAAAAATTCAAAAAATGTATAACACAAAAATTGTAACAATTCAAGAAAAGCAGTAAAAGTGATAAGAACACGGAGAAGGGTTGGTCAGGGAAGGCCGGTGACGGAGCAAGGGTGGGGGAGGGGAAGCAATGGATTGAGGGGGGTACCTGAGGGTGGGTGCGGCGGTGGTGGTGGCTGGTCGGCCGCGAAGGAAGAGGCTGGGTCGCCACTCCAATTTGCAATTTGTGTGTCCGATCGATGAAGAATCGATCTGATCTGCAATTTGCAATTTTCAATTTATGGATATCTGAATTTGATATGAAGAGGAAGATAAGAAAAAAAAGATATTACCTTCCTTGTATGAAGGAGAACGCGGAAGGGAGAGGAGGTCGTGCGCGGCTGACTGGCGTAGAAGAGCAGAGCCGGAGGGAGGAATGAAAAAAAAGAAAAAGTAAAAAAACATCTTAAATAGGGAGGCAGCAATGGAGGCAGGGGTGGGTGCACTGTAGCACGGTCCTTTAAGATTACGGCATTCATATTTTCACCTTAATTTTAATTACTTTTCCCATCCCATACAATTTTTCGAAGATAAAAAAAGTGCGCTTAAAAATATAGTATAATTTTGATATGATTTTCTAATTTTATCCTTATTTTTATGATAAAATAAGTATGATGTGTAAGATAGATGAACTATAATTAAAAATAATATTAAATTTAGAGTAAATTATATAAAAGGTCCCCAGTTATAGGTCGTTTTACATATTTAGTCCCTACATATCAAATATTACTAATTTAGTTCTCAATTATTATATTTATTTCCACGAATGGTCCTTTGTTAACATTTCCGTTAAGAACGTGGATAAAATTGTATATTCATACTTCTCTCTCTCCTCAATTAAGCTTTCTTCATCTTCTCATACTCTTTCCCAAACTCGTCGCTGAGTTTGAAGCTCTTAAACCCAAAATTTAAATGATCGTTCTTCCAGTTAGACAAACAATTGAGAGAAGAGTGATGATTTTAGTTTAGGGTTCAAAGCTAGAAACTTAGCGACGGGTTTGAGAAAGGAGTACAAGGGAGGAGAAAGCTTAATTGAGGAGAGAAAGGAGTGTGAATTTATAATTTTATCCACGTTTTAATGAAAATGTTAACAAAGGACCATTCGTAGAAATAAATATAATAATTGGGGACCAAATTAGTAATATTTGATATGTAGGAACTAAATATGTAAAACGACCTATAACTGGGAATCTTTTATGGAATTTACTCTTAAATTTATACTCCATATATTTTTAGGGCACAATTTTTACCAGTTGGGGAAGTAGAATCTAGACACTAAAATCTAGATTTCCGGCCATCAAAATTAAGACCATGTTTTCTTCACCTAATCTGAATAGTTTTGATCTAATTGGAATAAGTTTCAATCTAAATGTAGTTATATTTAAAACTATTTCTGATCTGATGTGAGAAAAAGTAATACTTCCTAAGTAATAGGAATAAGTTAAGAGAATATGACCTAAAAGTCGAAGAAATACCTGACCTAAAAAAGCAAAAATACTGTACTGTTCCATAAAATCCCCACAGACAGAATTGACACTATTTTTGCATTTAAAAATGAATGCTTTTTAATCCATTGACAAAATAAGCAAAGACCTGAAAGCCAAGAATCAGTGAAATTTATTCGAACACAAATATAGGTTTGCTATTCAAAAAGTAATAAACGAAGAGAAACACAAATATAGACATTTGCGACTGAAAAACAATACAGAATAGAGCCATTTTTTATTCCCTTCACAAAACAAGAAATCAAAACAAAAAACAAAAAAAATAACCACTCCACTACAATATGCATGAGCTAGCAAGTTTATCAAGACACACTAGTACATTGGCAAAGTACACCTCTTCTTCTACCATCATAACACCACCCACTGTCCTCTGAAACAATGAATTTCTATGTATAGTAAAACTTTACACTAAGGAGAAAAAGACTGATGCTGAGGAAGCAATCCAGAGTGATAGACATTAAGGTGGTATGTCGCGTTCGACATTAATTCTCTCAACTCAGGATGTTGGATGAACAGTGCACGGTCTGCCCCTTCAAGGGCAGTCCGGACCCGTGCTTGGTCCAAAGCATCGTTATTGCTAGCGTGCGAAGCAAGGTAACAGAGGAGGACAAACCCGTGGAACTGGGAGCGTTCATTCCCTCTCAGAAGTCTCATGAGAGGGGGGACTGCGTTGAATTCCACAATCGTCTTCGAATGCGCCGCGTGTAGAAAGTTGTTATTGCACGCAAACTTGCCAAGTGAATTTGCAGCCTCTGCGGCGACATCAAGATTCCTGTTACTTAGTTGCTCAACTAGAGGGCCAATTACCCGCGTCTCTCTTGCAGGAAATGTTCTGGCAAGACAGCCAATTGACCGGATTGCTGAGACTTGCATTTTTGGACTGTTTGATTGCTTGATCACCTGCAGTAGCTGGTCTACAACAGCCTTTGCAGCAGGGGAATTCGTCCTGAAAGCGGCCCTTCTAAGGTCGGCATCTAATTCTGCAGCAGCAGTTATTTCCATTATTGTCATCAGGCAGTTTAGTTGCAATTCCCCTTGCTCTGTTTCAACCAGCTTGGCTAAACATAGTAGCCCTCTAGTTTCGGTTATCCTTCTGCTGTTTGAGATGCTCCCCTTTGCGAGCATCCACAGTGCCTCTGCACAGCTGACCTTCAACTTCAGTTTCACTTCCTGTTTCTCGTTTTCCCTCTCTTTCCTGTGATTCCCACCCCGGCTACTACCCTCTGAAAAGTGCCTAGACAGTGGTGATCCCAGGGTGTGCTTATAGCTGTAGGATCCTGATGATTTCTTCTCCATTTCCTTGTTAATTTGCACAATGGAGTGGATGCTTTGCTTGCCAACTTTCAATTTCAAATCATCCATGAGGATATCATATGCCAACAAAGTCACCAGTGGTCTGATCACATTCTCCCTGGCAAACTCTTCCTGAGCAAGTGGGCTATATTCTGCCATCCTCGCGACTAAATTCGCCACCCAGATTTGAACCCTCATAGGGGAATCTCCCAACACTTGAACTATAATTGGAATCCCCATCTGATCAATAATGGCCCGAACCCTTTCTTCATCGTTTGCAATGTTAAACAGCGCAATCGAAGCAGCCACTTGAGCTTCTGGAGATGAACTGTCCTTTAAGAGCTTCAACAAAGGTGAAATTCCACCTTCTTCTACAATTATTTTCTTGTTTCTATCATTATCTTTAGCCAACGAAGATAATTCATTAGCGGCTTCGATCCTATCATTCAATTGACCCAAATGCAAAGAAGAAATGTAAGACCAAACCCAAGACACAATCGGGTCGTTGCTGGCAATTGGGGGAAGGGACAAAACAATACCTCCACCGCCGCCGTCACAGTCGAATATGGTAAGCAGCCACTTCATATCGGCAACAGAAGACTCCAGGAGGCTGAGAACTTTCCGGAAATCCGCGGCGGACACGATGGTGACAACACGGCGGAGGACGTTTCGCCGCTTACACTTCCGGACTAGGGTTAGTGCCCGGTCCAGATTTTTCGAAACCTCCGTGACAATCCTCCGGATCGGCTTCTCATAGACGGGGCCAGATATGGAGGTACAGAGACGGGCGACGGAGCGTAGCATCTGGGAGAGACGATCGACTTGTTTGCCGATCTCGAAGCACTCCAATTTGAAGGCGTCTGCCTCCTTGACCGAGTCCTTGATTTGTTCGGACAGAAGTATCGGAAATGTCAGTACCTCAATCCGTTTCTCTTCTGCGGCCGCCGGCGGAGGCGCCGACGCAGCCATCTCCGGCGATCTGTCGATTGGAAATGGAGGGAATACGGGGAGTGCAGAGTCAGAGATAGAGTCAAAAAGATTAATAATAAGAGTGGGGTTGAAATCATTTTTTTAAGACAAAAAGTACAGCGCAGCATACCCCAGAAGAGAAAAAGACTCATGGTTTCTAAGTTTTCTTCTGTTTGATGATTATGATTTTTTGTTTTTCGTATTTTTGTTTTTTTGTCATGAATACAATAGATTTGTTTGGGAAGAGCGTTTTTTATTAGCACTAGCGTTTTTGGATAAAATTTTAATGGTGTAAATTAATCCCGAAAACGTTAACTGTAAAGGCTATCGTTGGATAGCTTTTTCAAAACGCTAACACTAATAACTAACGCCGATGCCAAACGGGACCAATGATGATTCAGGCCCCGTTCCACATCATTGTCAGAGGTTAGCGTTAGGCCCCGTTCCGTTCAACTTATTTTTTCTTATTTTTTTTTATTTTTTCTTATTCTTATTCAAATCAGATCGGAAAATGCAAGAGTCACAAACATATAGTTCACAAACTTTCTTTTTCTGAATTTTAAACTAAACCATCTTTTATGATTTCAGTGCATTTTATTTCTAGGAAAGTGTTAAAAAGGTAAGTTTGTGAATTTTGTGAACTATTTGTTTGTGACTCTAGCATTACTCAATCAGATCAGACCAGACCAGATCAGATCAGATCTCATCAGATCAGATCAGATCCCATCAGATCAGATCATATCAGATTCCATCAAGAATTATTATTATTATTATTATTATTATTATTATTATTATTATTATTATTATTCTTGTTTTTGTTATGATTATTATTACTATTATCATTATCATTATTATTATTCTTAAAAATTAAAAAGAATAAACTTTAGAAATAAGTTAAATAGAAAACTGAGAAAATAATTCTAAATTATTAGACGTCGGAAAAATTATTTTTAAAATACATTGACAATGTCAATCTCATTCTACTTTTAAAATATATTTTTATTACTACTAGTAATATGAGTTTCTAAAGTTTTGATCTTTTATAAGGATGAAATATTTTAATAAAAACACTATCTCTTCTATATATTGATTATCTAAATTTAATTACTTTTTAATGTATCTATAAATTAAATATTTATTCTAATGTATATATGAAGTAATTATTAAAATATTAAATTAATGTTCTACTTTCACAAAAAATAATCATAAAATAAAAAATATTATTACATTATAACACGAATGATTATTATAATATATGAATTAACTAATTTTATTTTATTATAAAATAATCATAAAATAAAAAATATTGATTATATTATAATATGAATTATCATTACAATTTTCAAACGTTATTATAAAGTCAAATCAAATTATTGATTTGAATTTTAAATCAAATCATAATTAATCAGATCGGATCAGATCAGACCGGATCAGACCAGATCCAATCAGATCAGATCAGATCCAATCAGATCAGATTAGATCCAATCTGATCAGAACTTATTAAAATCAGATTAGAAAAAATAAGTTGAACGGAATAGAGCCTTAGTGTCTTGAAAATATTATTTGACAGTAGCCTTTAACATTAGTATTTTGAAAAATTAATCTATATCATTAAAATATTATCCAAAACACTAATGTTAATCGAAAACATTATTTCAAAACAAGGTCTAAGTTAACTAATCTTAACA